CTACCTTCACTCCTCAGGAATGATAATACTTTATTGGTTTAAAAAGCGATTATTAGAACTGTAATAAAACCTAAACATATGAAAGAGAATTTTATACATTTTCTTTGTTCTTGAAAACAAAAATAATAAACACTATTTATTTATAATGGATAACGGCTCAAAATTGGAAAATCGGAGAGCCGAGTTCCAGTTCTAATCGGGTTCGTTATATTAATTTAAGTGTGAATCTTTTTAGGAAAAGGTATGAATCCATCTCTTCTCCCCCAAGCTATGGGTTAATTAGTAGGACTTGTATTAGTAAATCATTATTATCTTCAGAAGAATTCTCACAATCCCCAAATATTTTCTGGCTTTAAATAAACTGAAAAAAAAAAATCAATTAATTAATATAGATATTGTGTGGGCAAAAATGGGAGAATATATCAGCTTAGACAAATATATTTAGGATAAACCATCGAATTGTGCAATGTTCTTTATTGCTCGGCCACAGAGAACGTGGCAACGACCAAAGGTCTCTATTCCATTTTTTTCAGGAAAACACCTCCTCCTCACAGAGATTATTTTCTCGGAAGCTTGATATGTGCCAAGTTTCGTATCCGTAAACAAAGCAATTTCTAAAGAATTAATGGATTTATTTTTAATCCGGTATTTTTTCCAAACATTATTTTTAATCCGGCATTTTTTCCCAACAAAGTTAGATTCTTACCAGCGAACACATTTTCTATATAACGATTTCTCAACTGCACATGGTTGATAAACGTAATAAATAAACACACTGTTTAATAGATAAAAAGGGCATCTATTTCAAATACGAAGTATCCACTATGATAACGTTTGAAGTTATATATATATATATATATATATGTGTGTGTGTGTGTGTGTGTGTGTATGTGTGTATTTGTGTATATTATATATATATATATATATATATATATATATTATTCATATATTATATATGTGCGGTACTTATTGGAAAGCGCTCAATATCAGTGATAGAGCTAACATATTTAGTTGTATAGATGTGAATTTGTAATCCTAGGTTTCACGCTTTTGCGATCCTCACACACACACACACACACACACACATTCACTCATATATCCACATGTAATAAGAACAAAAAAAGAATATAAATTCAAACGTTCAAAGCATTAATTCAAAAGACCAGGAGTAAAGCAGTAGTTCTTTATTACAAAATTTTTACATGCATATAAAAATATAACTCCCGCCAAAGATGCATTTTTGTTTCGATGAAGCATCTTGCCGGGTGAGGAACAAAGATGGTTATGACCGATCCTATGTTTAAAATGTCGCCTATGGACCGTCACTTTCCTTTTCTAATTATTCAAATTTTGGGCGGGTGGGGGGGCAGATAAGGAAAAACACCATAAAAGTAAAAAGAAATACATAGAAGGGTTTCCATAAAAGGAAAATAAAATAAATAATAATAGTAATAATAAGAAGAAACCAGTAAAAACAAAGAGGGTAAGAAAACAATAGAAGGAAAAAAAAGAGGGAAAAAGCAAGAAGAGAAATATCAGAGTTAAGAAAAATTAAGTAAAGGAACATGTCGAAAATTCCATAGAGAAAGAAGAAGAAAAAAAATGGGGGAAAAAGGAAATAGAATAATAAAACGAATAGGCGAGGAATTTACATGAATACAGAACCGAAAAAAAAAGAGGATAAAGAAAAAGGAAAGAGAAAAGAAAGCGAGAAAGTAAGAGACATATGAAAAGAATAATAATCCTCTCGAATTCTCTGATGGATTTTTAATGTTGCTATTAAATTTATTAAGGAAGACAGCGTAGTTTGTTTTATTGATTTCTTTTATTTTCACAAGTACTTTCAATCTCATCCATGATCATCTTCAAAGACGAATTATCAAGACAAAAATTAATGTATTCAATAGTTGTGATTTTTTTTGTAAATGCGCATGAAACACGCTCTGTTATAATTCTTTTAAACACGCATGAACGACTCTGTTATAATTAATTTAAAAATCAACTGTGAAAGCTATTGTGTTTTTATCTAAGGGTGGTGATTTTAATTCATATAATTGTAATTGTTTTTATAATTACAATTTAAGTATTTTAAAAGCATTGCTATTATAGACATTTTAAAGATTTATTGCTATATTCATAACTGACTTTATATAGTGTTGGTTGTATTTTTCTTATATAGAGGGCCTCACATATTTGAAGTTTTTGTTTTTTGTTTACATTGTGGAGTATACATGCGTTGTCAGTTAATATTTCTCTAAATTGTGAATGTGGACAGGAATGTTTCTTTAAATGTGCGATGGAGCTTATATCCGATATATGTAGTGTAAATTTCTTTGATAATGTTGCTGTCGTGAAACAAACATATATATTTACATTGATGTTAGAAATACAATCCCCCCGAAGAACATTTAAAAGTAAATAGACATATGCCCAGACTATTCAACCAATCATGCTTGAATTAAGATATGATATATATATATATATATATATATATATATATATATATATATATATATATATATATATATATATATATATATATATATATATATATATATATATATTATCCTCACTGGTATCACAACGCAATCTTCAGGCGTTCCACGTGAAGATTGCACTGTGCATGAACCATGAACCTCAGTATCATGCTGTTCGGTATTTTATATTCATATATATATATATATATATATATATATATATATATATATATATATAATATGAAGAAATATAGTTTTAAGGTGTGCTATATTTATGGATTTTTTAATGTTGCTATTAAATTTATCAAGGAAGACAGCGTAGTTTGTTTTATTCATTTCTTTTATTTTCACAAATACTTTCAATCTCATCCATGATCATCTTCAAAGGTGAATTATCAAGACAAAAATTAATGTAATCAATAGTCGTGAAGTGCTCAATATCAGAGATAGAGCGTATGTAAATATAAATATAAAAGTGAACACTGAAGTCATCACTCAGAGGCGACAGGCTGTTTTATGTTAGACGCAATCATCAGGCCGGTCTGACGATTGCGTCTAGCATGAAACAGCCTTTTATATTTATATATATAAATAAAAACAAAAGGAAAATTTCTCTTAGCGTTACATCCCCTGATGGACTTATGTATGTTTTTATATTGCAAAAAGTATTTATAAATGCAATTAAAAATATTGTTAATTTTCAAATTTTTTTAACTTAAGAGACGCTGATAAATATGCATCAGGTTAACTGAAAAGTGTAGCTAAATTGTGTCGGATGCTAAGTGAATTAATTCAATGTCAAATAAATGAAAATGAGTAAATATTGTCGAATGTTTTTATACAATTTATATCTAAATTATTTTAATATGGGTTAAATTTATGTATTATGCATATTTTATTGAATTGGAATATTAACAAATAACATTATCAATATGATTTCCATCATTTTTACGCAATGATTGATGCGCTTTGCAAGATTCATGTGAACTCGATGCAATAACCTCACTTTGCCGTCAATTTTAGCACATTTTTTATGTATTCAATTAAGTGTGTTGCATCTGTGATTTTCATTGAGTACACATTCTTCTTTAGTGTACCCCAGAAAAAAGAAGTCATTTCTTTCTTCTTTCGATAAAACAATGTTTAATCTGTATATATATATGAAGAAAAATATACGGAAAGACAAACAAAAATCCTAATATGCAATTATGCTGTTTTAATGTTAATATAATGTCAACGTCGGACGTTTCGGTCTATTTTAGACCATCATCAGGACATATTCATTAAACATAATTAACATTAGACTATAATTGAATATAGTCTAATGTTAATTATGTTTTATGAATATGTCCTGAAGATGGTCTACTAGACCGAAACGTCCGACGTTGAAATTATATTAACATTAAAACAGCATAATTGCATATTAGGATTTTTGTTTGTCTTTCCGTATATTTTTTTCATATACATATCCATATATTTATATATATATATATATATATATATATATATATATATATATATATATATATATATATATATATATATATATATATATATATATATATATACATATATATATATATATATATATATATATATATACATATATATATATATATATATACATACATACATGCATATATATATATATATATATATATATATATATATATAATGTATAAGAATAATGAATAACAAAGGTCACTTATTTAATGCTTATTCGGCAAGCCTTTGCTTAATTTGTGCCTTCAGAGCGAAAATATTTTTATTAAAAATAGCCCATCCTGAAAGCAAAATTTATAATGAAATGTCAATATTAAATGCTTATACTAACAATTCATTATTATCATTCCCATTAAGACTGTGATTAGCCTACTGATCTCGCTAGCTATTATAAGTAAGATCCTAACCAAGAAATACATCAATTTTAAAGATGCCTTCCAAAAGCTTAGCAACGTATTAAGAAACAGAAAAATTCCATGAGAAACAAAGTAAATAGTGTTCAACTGCTACGCAATATTATTATATGTGTATGACAGTGAATACTGGACAATCTCTCCAGAAAGAGGAGAATTGGTGCAGCAGAAATGTAGTTCTACAGAAGGATACTGAGAATGTCATACATGGAGCATGCGAGTAGGGAGGACGTGTTAAAGAAAATAGAATCAAAAAGTACACTTATACTCAGAATCACCAAGAGACAGTTGAAATTATTGTGGCACGTAATGAGGAAAGAAGCTTGGAGAATTTGACACCTACAGGATATATTGAAGTCAGGCGGGGTTGGGTAAGCAGCGAGTAAGCGACTTAATGAACTTGTGTAAATTGATGACAGAAAAGGGACGAACTGGCATAGGAAAACGCTGCTAAGTTCTACAATGAATAGGAGGTTGTGGAGAGCCATGATCGCCAACATCATGAAAGATGAGGTAGACGGAAGCAAAAAGAAAATGAATCTGCAGACTTCGATATTAATCTCCGAGAGTTTTTCGGAGATTTTGTTTTCCCTAGAAAAATTTGGCTTATGGCCACATCACGTTGAAACATCGGTTCCCGTACATTCACTGAAGTTAAGCAACGTCGAACCTGGTCAGTTACTAGATGGGTGACCGCTTGGAAATACCATGTGCTGTAAGCTTGGATGTACAGATTTCATAATGGGCTTACGGCCACACCACGTTAAAACACCGGCTCTCATAAATTCACTGAAGTTAAGCAACGTTGAACCTGGTTAGTAACTAGATGGGTGACCGCTTGGGAATACAAGGTGCTGTGAGTTTGGATGTGCGGGTGTTGTAAGGTCTAATGGCTTGGAATTCTTAATCGGAGAGCCGAGTTTCAATTCTCCAGTTGGGTTCGTTATATTCATTTACGTGCAAATATAATTGGGAAATTATGAAACCACCTCTTCTCTCCCATCAGCCATGGCTTAATTAGTAAGATTTGTGTAACTAAAACATTATTAATTCCCAAAAATAAAATAAAATTGTGTAAAAAAAAAAACAGATTTCGGCATTAAATAACGTGCAAAGAAAACAAAAACAACCAAGCAACTAGAAAAATTTGATATGAGTCTTATAAAAAAAGAAACTGCAATGGAGAATGATTCACAGCAGAGAAAAATGACTGAACTTTAGTTATCGCGTAATTATTTATACGCGCTTCCTTGTCAGATTCTCTAAATATACAAAGACTGGGTGTTTATCGTCTAACATTGCCAAGTTTCGTGGAGGCATATCAGTCATCGGCAGTTGAAACTCTGCCAAATCATAGCCACAACGACGCCTTACTATAATGCAAAAGAATTAACAGACTATAAGCTTCTTGCAATTATTTATTTGCATATTTACAATTTGTCTTAAATCTTACATATTTTTTATGCAATATTAATTAATCTTTATAGCTGGGTGGTTAGAACGTTCGCTTTATGACTATGAGACCCAGGTTCGAATCTCACCATGGTCGACTTGTTAGGAAAGAGACTGATGTTATTGGACTGGATCGAGGTCGGTTCTAGCGTGCAGCACCTTTGGAAAGTGCCTGAAAACCATAGCACGGGTTGACCTAAACCTTGTGAGTGAAATTGGGTAGATGGAACCCTTGGTGGCCGCCGATAGCTGTGCAAGCACGAAGCCACAAGTCATCGTGGCCTTGTTCAAATTGTTGATCACGCTAGATAACACGCCCTCCACAGAAACTGTAACTATGGTCTGCTCAGCATAGTTGCAGTATAAAGGTTGGTTCTGTGGGTGTTAAATAAACACCAATGCGCCTGAGCAAGTATCTGCAATAGGGATTGACTAGCCGCACTAGTAGATGGGTATCCTCGAATACGAGTGGACAGCTATTATCAATTAAGCTTTATTAATGTCAGGTTTTCCTGATGAGATGACTGGCTATACATACAGATGGATTAAAAACAAAACCTTTCAAAGAGCGAATGGAGTCACTTTTAGGGTCAACACCCATCTAGGACAACAGGGTAGCCTGGGGTCCATAACTATGGAGCAGCTAGCGCAGTGATGACACAGCATCGCTAGGTGGCGAGTGATAATTCTTTTTTCAGAAAATGAAGGCAACAATGCTCGTCAATTTATTGTTCGGGAATTATCACTAAGTTGTAATGGCTGGAAACTTTCTTAAGCGATTTGTCAGGTGGTGAGTTAGGAGTTTGGTTTTATAATGGAGATACCTTAGGTGACTCCTGATGATTCAGCCATGGTGATTCTTTTTCAGCGAATGGAAGCATCTCCATTCTCGATTTGATCTGTCGCTTTTAAATGGCGGTAGGAATCAGGATACTTTCTGGAGCGCGATAAACCATATCTGGCAACAAGGACTCTGATCGGCAAATTAGAGGTTTTGAGGAGCGTGGGACCACCTCTTAATTGCTGTTAAGGTCCCAGGTAACCAAAAGATGAACCCCCAAACAAAAATCAATACATTTTTTATATAGTAAAAACATCAGCAAAATATTTTTTATTAAAAAGATTATCAATTGTTGATAATCTTTGTGTAGTGAAATTGCAAGCAATACATTTTCATCAAATAAATATTACCAACAATATATTTTGATACTAAATAGACCAAAAATATATTTTATACCAAAATGACAAACAGTATATTTTTTATAATAAAATTACCAACAATAGATTTTTATAGAAAAATGACAATCAATACAACACTAAAAAATGTCTGTGCCATGTGTCCTCAAGGACACATGGCACAGTGGATAAAGAGTGTGAGTTCAATACCCGGTTAAGGCAGTGGAGAACTTTCAGAGGGGAATTAACAGGAGATAACTGATAACTGACATCCATCAAACATGGCACGTGGAACTAGAACAGTATACCCCAGTGTGCGAAATAAAGGGTTCAGTTCGACATTCCAACCACCCGAAGAAGGTCGGAGCGTACAACGGCCGAAATGTTTTAATAAATATGGCGACAAAGATGAGGACAATAGTCCAACTAATGTACACTGAAAAGAGTATAAAAGTACATTTTATAGTAAAATTTCCAACAATACATTTTTTAAATTACAAACAATAAATTTTATAATCTACAAACTATATATCTAAAAGCATATAAGATATAAAACTATGTACAATATATCTGTAGTTGAAGGCATAAAATTGCATTAAAAATAATTAGATTTCGGCATTAAATAACCCATACAGATTGATATGCCGCTAAACAAGATCGACCAATCAACAGGTGTGATACAACCAAAATCGACCAATCAACTGAAGCAATACAATGAACCGGCTATTTTCCCAGAATCTTTAGCGATTGTTAATCTCGTGATACTAATGGGGACGGTGAAAATAGCAGTTTCATACAGAAAGCGTTCGACATTCATGACGGAAAATTTAGCATTACTGTCGATCGAAATTTATCAAATCTTTTTTTTTTTTTTTTATTAAAACAGTTTTTTTTTTCTTCGGGAATTTCGACTTCCCATGGCCTCTAAATATTATACTTCTTTTTAGTACTGATGGGACTTACTTTTATAAACCTTCTGTTTTAGGTAGAGTAAAAGGTTAATAGCTTCATTTCGTGATTCTCTTCTACATACATGTGCTACGCGTTTCTGTTGTCGCTGTTGGAAATCTTCAAGTAATGTGGCGTTTGTTATTTAGTAAAGCTCTTTGGGATTGTGCAGCGCCAGTCTATAGAGTCTGATGAAGAAATGACTTCTTTAAAACTTTGATTTTGCGTCTCGTCCGGTTATTCTTACCTTTTTGCTCTTAGACAGCAAACAACTTCTGTCGATATTTCTGAGATAAAGTTTTGTAATTATTTACACTATTTACATTGTTCGGACTGTTGTCCTCACCTTCGTTGCCATATTCACGACGTTTCGGCTGTTACACGCTCCGGTCTGCTTCGGGTGATTGGAATCAAGGACACATGGCCCAGTGGTTGAATCCAGCGACTTGATTCAAAGAGTTGTGAGTTCAATACTTGTGTACAGCTGAGATGAACAAAAACTTAGAGTTAAAGGGAGATAACTGATACTGAGACATCCGGAAGAGACATGGCACGTGGAACTAGAACAATCTACCCCCGGAGTTCAGTTCGAAATTCAAAGCACCTGAAGATGGCCGGAGCGTACAACAGCCGAAACCTGGTGAATATGGTAACGAAGATGAAGACAGCAGTCCGAACAATGTAAATATTGTAAGTAAACTACTTGACGGTAATTTACTACATCTGCAGTAGCCTTTTGCAAAACGACATTCGTTAGTCTGTAACCCTCTACCTCGAGTGGCACTTGGACCTTGTACAGGGTGAATATTCAGTCAGTTAAGTGTGATATGTGCAGTAGCGTGCGGAAGTGGAGAGCAGAGGGTGCAAGGACACGGGTCACACCCATATCGCGAGGGCCTCCAGTCAAAGAGTGAAATAAAAATTTAGTTTATATTTAATATAAAAGAAAGTGTTTATTTCATGTTTCATCTGATTTTACATATTTAGAATGTCTTCCTTTCTCGCATTTCTCAGTACGTAACCCTATAGGACCTCTCTACTTGGGTTTTGAGGGGCATACAATCACGGAGCTGACCCCGGGTATCACCAAACTTCTGGCCATTACTGCATACGTTATACATGCTTAGACGATCATCTTGCTTTCGATTCGTGACTGGCTAGGCATAAGGTTTTCTCACAGTAGGTTGCCGTTTCTTTCTGCGGTAGACTGGTTGCCAACCAAGGCTTAAACCCTGGCTCTCCTGTTATTCAACCTATAGCTGGGGAGTAGAAAAGATGGATTCATACCTTTCCCAAGGGTATTTGTGCGTAAGTGAATGTAACAAACCCAGCTAGAATTCGAACTGGGGTTACCAATTCCTCATTCCGAGCCGTTTTCCATTACACAGGGTGAACATTATTGTTAAAAAAAATGCCTTAAAAGAAAAAAAAAACTGATTGTTTGCAGAATCTAATGCAGAAAATCACTTAATAAATAAGACCATAGCGTGTAGAACATGTTTTAATCCTATAACCTTTCAGGGCGTAGGTGTTCATGCCTCCTCAATGATTCCTTTTTCCTGTCTTTGAACTGCTCTCTCCACGGTTTGGAATTCAATTCCCGCTATTTCACCGATAACCGTGAGGCCTTTCCTTAAGGCATTAATGCGAAATGGGAATCCAACAGACTAAGCCGGAGTTTGAACCCGGGGAGCTGATTCTGTTTACCGTGCCGACGCCGTTACTCAACACTCATTAAGATTACTCGACTGTAATGTGTGTGTGTCTGTATCTGAGCGCGTGCATCTGCGTGAAAAGGTGTGATTTACTCTAATGGAAGGAAGAAAGAAAAAAAAGGAATAAAAAAAAACGCTAGGGACTCATTTCAACCGACTAATATACACAATCGGCGCACCCGCAATGTTTATATTGATACCAAGCCGACAGAAGCACCGAGTTTCTTAGCTGATGTGCGAAATTGACCCGATATCTTCGCACGTGTAGCAGAATGGTTTTAAAGAAAAATAAGCTCTTGTGAATGCATGACACGCTTGCAGCACTGCATAGTGTTTCAAAAAACTGCAGTTTACCCGGGGCGTCTTATTTCTTTTGACAGAGTGACTTTTCAAAATGTCGTTTTCTGCGACCTACATTTTCCAATTTTGCAGGAATATTTGTAAACCTGCAATACGAGAGGATACTGCTGAAAGGTTCGCGGCCCAACTAAGAAAGAAAATACACACACACACACACACACATGTATATATATATAAGACATGTTTCATTGAATAATTTTGACATGTT